GGGGCGGCGTGTGGGTCGAGGAGGCCGACGGGGCCACTAAGCAGGTTCTTGGTCTCCCACCCTCTACTCGTCCTGCTCCTCCCTTAGAGTGTCCACAACCTGTCCACTCGCGGTCACAGTTACAGCCCGCCTCCCCCCTACCTGCTCCTTCTCCCTACACTGGTCCTACTGGAGGTCTTGCTGAGCGTCGTGAGCCTCCGTCTTGTCCTGCGTCGCCTATTCGTGCTGCTCGCACTAGTGGTCAAGCTCCGCGTCCGCGTCCTCCTGCGGTCCCAGGCACACACCAGATGGCACTACGTCCTTCCACTGCTCCTCAGCGTGTCCCGTTGTCGTCTCCTCCAGAGTCCTCTCTTCCTATTCTTGCTGACCCGGAGTCTGACTCTCTTCGTGCTGCCAGTCCTACTGTCACGCTTCCCCTGGCTACTGTTGTCACTAACCCTTCCTTTGAGTCCACTGCTGCGTTAGCCCTAGTTCCTAAGCTTGTCGACTTTGCTGCTCGCTGTCATCTAGACTACGCTGCTAGTCTTGTTGCTGAGTCTGAGTCTGTCTGTCCTCCGTCCGTCGGGGGTGAGTGTGCTCTTAGCACGAACGTCCTTGAGGACAGGCAGGAGGAGTTCCAGTGTTTTGCTGCTCCTTTGCCTCATCTCGTGTCCACACTGATTGCCCCTGAGGGAGACCCGGATGCACCAGAAATCCCGACTCCTCGATCGTACGCTGAGGCGATCGAGGGTCCCTACTCCTCTCAGTGGCAGTCAGCCATGGACGCAAAGATGGCTTCCTGGAAGTCCAGAGGCACCTACGTCGACAAGGTTCCCCCACCTGGGGCGAACATCGTCAGTGGCATGTGGATTTTCAGGGTGAAGCGGCCGCCGGGTTCTCCACCTGTCTTCAAGGCGCGTTGCGTGGCTCGAGGCTTCAGTCAGCGGCAGGGAGTTGACTAGTTTCAGACCTTCTCTCCCACCCCAAAGATGACCACTCTTTGGGTGCTGCTGCACATAGCTGCTCAGCGCGACTACGAGCTTCACTCTCTTGACTTCAGCACAGCTTTCTTGCAGGGCAGCCTGCACGAGGAGATCTGGCTGCGCCGCCCACCTGGCTTCATAGGGTCGTTTCCTCCTGGTACCCAGCGGAGCCTCCGGCGGCCAGTCTACGGTCTCCGCCGGGCGCCCCGTGAGTGGCACGACACACTGAGGACTACACTTGCGGCTCTTGGGTTTGCTCCTTCTACAGCTGACCCGTCGCTGTTTCTGCGCACCGGCACCTCTTTGCCGCCGTTCTACATCCTCGTGTACGTCGACGACTTGGTCTTTGCCACTGCTGACACTGCTGGACTCGCCCACGTGAAGTCCGAGTTGCAGAAGAGACACACGTGCACAGACCTGGGTGAACTGCGCAGCTACCTTGGCTTGCAGATCACCCAGGACAGAGCACAGCGCACCATTACCCTGACTCAGTCACACATGGTGCAGCAGGTCCTTCAGCTCTTCGACTTCACGTACTCCTCGCCTCAGGCCACTCCTCTGTCTACTCGTCACTCGCTCTCAGCTCTGCCTTCGGATGAGTCCGTAGAGCCGAGTGGCCCGTACCCAGAGCTTGTTGGCTGCCTCATGTACCTGATGACCTGCACACGACCTGACCTTGCATACCCTCTTAGCATCTTGGCACGCTATGTTGCTCTTGGGAGACACCGACTAGAGCACATGGCTGCAGCGAAGAGGGTGTTGCGCTACTTGTGCAGTACGTCGGGCATGGGGCTAGTGCTTGGAGGGCGACGTCGAGTGGTCCTCACAGGTCACGCAGACGCTTCTTGGGCTGATGACCAGGCTACGCAGCGGTTGTCACAGGGTTACACCTCCAGCCTTGGTTCCGGCTCTGTTTCGTGGCGGTCTACCCGCTCATCTTCTGTTCTCGGCTCCAGCTGTGAGGCTGAGATCTACGCAGGGGCCATGGCTGCACAGGAGCTACGCTAGCTCACCTACCTGCTGACTGACCTAGGAGCACCGCCTCGTTCTCCTCCATTTCTGTACGTAGACAACAAGGCCATGCTGGCCTTGTGTCGGGAGCACAGACTGGAGCACAGAGCGAAACACATTGCTCTGCGCTACTTCCTTGCTCGTGAGCTGCAGCAGCGTGGTCAGCTGCGCCTTGCTTACATGGCCTCTCAGGACAACACTGCTCATATCTTTACCAAGGCGCTTCCGCCTTGTGATCATCAGCGCTTCTGTACAATGCTAGGTCTTGTGCCTACTTGGCCTCACTTGCTCACTTCTTGACCTTGCTTGTACTGTGATCTTTCTATACCTGCACTTGCTTGTTTACCTTTATATATGATCTTGCATGTGAACTGGCCTTGTGGCCTTGCTCTTGTGCTCGGAATGTTTGGTGACGGTGTGATCCACCCTGAGCTTGCTTTGCTTTGCTTGACTGGTCTTGTGACCACTTGTTCTCCCCAATTTTGCCTATGGGCGTGTGTCAAGCTTTTATGCTATGTTCTATCTAGGCTGTAGTGGGGTAGGCACTATAGGGTACAACATTTCCAGATTTCCTACTTGTACCCACATTCTGCCTAGTCATTTCATTCCTCATTTCTTCACACGATCGTTCTGTTGGAGCCGTGCGTGTTAGCTGGAGACGACACGTCCTGCTCGAGGACGCTGGACTCCGACAAGCCGGTTACCCCTCTAACAACCACGTCCATGGAGATGCTGTAGTAGAACGTGATCCACGCCACTAGGAGTTGCATGAAAAAGGGAACAGCTATAGGCTCTGCCCTGGTAGCAGTGTGAAGCACAGGTAGTGCTGTGCTTGCGGTGAAATGATGTGGTTCTTGTACCTGTGAATTGCCTGTGCCTTTGTGTGTGTTATGGTTTCACCAACTCGAGACACATCATTTGCAAGATCCGTTACCGTGCCTCTCGTAGAATTTCCCGCTATTAGGAAACTGGTTTAGGGTGTCTGCCCAGCAACAAATCGTTTGGGCTTGAGTCAATATGGGTCGCCCAATAGAGTGCCGCCAAATGTACACCTCTATGTGTCGCACAAGGGTTGCGGTACATCGGTTATTTGTGACGTGAAGATGGGCAAATTTACAGGCGCGACTCGGGTTAAGGGGGATTGAGACACAAGTGTCGACACAGGAATGTTCCATAAAATCATATCGCTGTATCAAGCTTAAAGCGTGGCTTCGGCTGATGGCCTCAAATCCGTTATCATGCATGAAATTGTAACTCATCATTTGCATTAAAGCTACTGGCCATGTCCATGGCTGCTGTAAGGCGGAGAGCGCAATGTCATCTCAGAGGATTTTGCAGCTTATAGCAGCTGATTTTTTAATGATAATGTGCCTCCTCACTATTAGTAGTTCACATAAGGAGTACTTGCAAACTCACTATTCTCTGACGGGGTGATCGAGAATTCAACCGTACTGTAACCGTGCGTCGGTCTAAAAAACGTTTCCGAAACGTTTGCAACCTTTTCAAACCATGCTTTTTGCGATGTGACGCGTGGTGACTTCGATGCGATATTTGAATCGCGATCAACGTCGTCAACCAATCACTCGCGGTTTTTGCTTTCATAACAGAACCATTTTTCGCAAATAGGCGTCGCATCCACGCCAATTCCCGCTTTCAAGGCGCATTATGGGTATTTACATATAAATCATCGTGCGATTCGGACTGACGAACTTCAGGAAAGTCAAAACGATTGACTCATGTAGTGAGTCAGTGATGTCTCTTCTATTTATGGAAGCAATAGTTTGAAGTTAATCACATGTTCATCGCATCTTAGAATCTCCTATCGCCTTCACTCTCGCATCCGTGTACGCAGATCCAGCAGAGAAGCTGCCACTGCGGCTCGCCATATCTTGGCAGCTAAACCATCTCCTCGATCGTAGCAACCTCGATTGGTTTTCATAGAAGCGAAAATGGCCTTTTTCGGCCTGACACTTGCTAAGACTACTCTCCTCGTGGTAGTCATCGTATCCGTGATTATGTTTTCCTCCGCCGCAGAAAGTCCACCCAACGAGACAAATTCTGCTAATGGGACTGAAACTGCGGCTGATTTTGCCAGTTCCGGAAGTGCTACTAGATTTGATAACAGCAGCAGCACCGTAGTGGCGACGGCGAGGCCAAGCAACTGGACAGGCCAAGGTATTAACGCCACGTGCGGTTATTTCGGCAACTATAGCACCAACCCCTACTTCGACATGGGACTCATTGTGAAGCTTCCTGGTTCTGACTTTGGCAATATCTGCGGCGCGTGCTATGCCATTTCGTGCATTGATGACACGAAGCGATGGTGCAGTGACAAGGCGATCGTGACCGTCCGTGTGGTGGGCGAGTCAGAGACAGGAAACTAGCTTGCGATCTCCAAAGCAGCCTGGTCCAAGATCGTGGAGGATTCAGAAGATAAGGCGCCTGTTAACATCACGTACAAGCGCACCAACTGCGTGTCGACCGTCGGAACGCAGGTTCGCGTTCGCAGCGTATCATCAGCGGAGAAGTTCAACATTCAGATCGCGAGGCTTCATCGCGAAAAAGGAAAGCTGCGATTTTTGGCCCCCGAAGGTTTTTCTGCGTTGGCCTTGCGAGAAAGTTGCGGAAAGCTGCATAAAAACACCGCACCCGAATCGCAACTTCTTGCACATCAGAAACGCACTTCTTCATCGTAGACACAAAAGTGACTTGGCGTTAACTTTTCCACGAACATGTACGAAACTCAAAGTGCACACCTACATCTCGAGTCGCAATCGCTGCTCCCATTTCATTGGAACCAAAATCCGCGACATAAGTATGCTGTACCTGGTGTTTCCGTCAAAATAGAACATGTAAGTGCACTGTTAGGGTGCTCATATCCACGTAAGCCAAAACTACACCATCAACTCAAAACAAAATTGCACACACAATAACAACTACTACACTAACATAACCAATGCGTCTCCCCTACGTACGATACCGCACACAGTCAACTACCACAACCAAACCCCACTACTGCCAGACGCATCACTGGTCGTCATCACTCTCCAGCACTTCATCACTGTGCAGCACTTCTTCGGCTGTCCCGTTCTCAGCTCGCCCCCCTGCGCGAGCCCTCTTGACAGGCGTCCTGCATAGGCGGGAAATCACCTCCTGGTTCGATGCTCCGACCTTTGCTGACACAGCCGCCAGGGGGATGCCGAGCTCATCGGCACGCTCCACGTACGCATTTGTGACGTTGCGTATCACACGCCTACTGCTGCGCTCGTCCCGCAGCAATGGGCCGTCTGGCAGGCTCATGTCGCCCGACAAGTCATCGGACGCGCTGGCAGCATGTGTGGCTCTGAATCCCTGTTCCACGCATAGTCCTGCGTTGCAGTTGATAAAATACGACGCCGTCATGTAGCACGCAGGCCTTACCTTGAACTTCTCGATGAGCAACTGCAAATTGACGCATACCGAAATAATAGGCTCGAACATGCCGGTTGCGCACGTGTCACCCAGGTATGCCATCAGGGGCGGCCAGCTCGCCGGCACGCATCCTGCGCGCCACCAGCTCCGCTGCATGGTAGCCGCGCGCACACGAGTCCACGCTTCTCCCAGCCACTTGAGTATGTCGTTATAGTCGACATCAGCGATGGAAGCCGAATAGTCGAACTGGAACCACTTGGACCCTATCGCACGCCTCATCAGCACAACGCGGTAATACGCCTTCAGCGCATCACCCACTCCCTGCAGGTGCGGTAGGCCCATCTCCGGAACCGATCCACGAATGTTGATGACTCAGGTGTTCATGAGGTGCTGCACACTGAAGCCGTGCTCCGTGACGGGCGGCGCCACCTCGCCTGTGATGCGATGCGCCTTGTGAATGGTGAGGATGATGGTGTTGCGATCACGGCTGAAGTTCACACTGTTTACGGTCTCCACAAACTCCGTGAATACCTGTGTGCAGTGAATCAAACATAGCGAGCACGTCACCAACGGACATTGCGGTACGCAAATACATCGGAGATGGACGCGCTCCTGATGTACTCCCACGTTCTATGCACGTCCAACCATAAAACTGCACACAAAGTCCACAATCCATTACCTCCGGCGTCAACCACCTTGCGCGATGCGGCGCTCGCCCGCCGGCGCTCGGGCCTATTGGATGGCTCTAGCACCACAAGAGGCACTGCGGAACAACTCCCCGTCGCGTTGTAGAGGATGCCGACGCTGATACGCTCCACCACATTGCGCTTATCCGGAATGTACGACTTCGGCAGCCGGTTGGGAAGAAAATTCATCTCGTGGAAGCAGAACACGTCATCCGGATGTGCGGTAGCAAGCAGGGCCTTCAGGTCACCCATTGTAACACACTGTCACTCTGGTATGTAGGTATGCATTGAAGGGCACATGATCTCCTCCTACATACGTTTCATTTGACCGTAACGTACCCCCGGCTTGCCCCTGCACGCACACTGTGTACAGCAGTTGAAATTGGCCACACAACCAACCGGCCACATTCCCTGCGCCGCACAGAGATTACACTCTCCTTTGATACGACCACCTGTAACGCCCACATAGGACATCCCGCCCCCACGATGCCACGTACGCGTCACCCATATCCAAACAACCAACTGCCTGAGACCCCGAGTGTGCTCCATCACACATTGTGGTTGTGCAACCCCGACCGCGCAAGGAATAAGGGTACCCGTACGCGTTATACGATTCATACCTTAACCACCATACTGCACACCTATACCTGATTGAACGTCTCTCCTTCTTAGCACGAGTGTATAATAACATCACCGCTGGATAACACAACTTCCATCCAATCGTGCCTCTACACATAAAGAACGCACTACGCAGTGATTTATGGTTTAAAATTCCGAGATGCAACCACTGTCTGTAAACGCATTGCGTCATTCGCATAGTAGAAACCTATTTACTAGCTGCACCTTTTTGTTGCTGTACGAAGGGCACACGTGCACCACTCTCTGCAGGCTTTTCAGCTCCACCACCAAGAACCTCACATCCTCCACTGTCTTGTGCAGCTGCGTACATCCCGTGAGGTTGCAGCTCCCAGCCTTCTCATAGTACCTCACATGTGCGTACCCCTTCCAATCCCCATCACGGTCAACCGCCCTGAAAATGCACAGACATTTTGCATACCAGTCCCCACCCTTGTCATTGAGCAGCGCCATGTCCGAATACCACCTCTCTCGGGGCAACGCCTTCACAAATGTCCCTTTGGCCACCAGCTCGCCGCCTCTTGTGCGCGGAATGGCCACCGTCGTGTGGACCTGACACCCCATCCCCACCAAACCAACAACACGTGCACATCATGAGTGCGGTGAGCACCATCATGTAAGACTACAAACGTTACATGTCCGCCACTTTGTAATCACTTCACCTGCACGCTGTTGGTAGCCAGACCTAACGCCTTGAACTCGTCAGCCAAACCCTTCATATCGTCTCCCAGCGTGGTTATGTACTCATTGTACACTGGATCCACCGCCCCGCCAATCCGCATTGTCTGATACTTCTTCGTAAGCACCGGTTTCTTCGTCAAGATTGCCTACACGTACCACACGCATTCGCACAACGAACCACACGGTGTTTGAATTGTTAAGAAAGGAACGTGAATGAAATGACTATGAATGAAGTGAGTACAAATAGGAAACCCTAGTTGGGTTGTACCCCCTATGGGATACCCCACTATAGCCTACACAAATAAGTAAGCTATAATATTCTGACACACCCCCATAGGCAAAGTGGGGGAGAACAAGGGGTCACAAGACCAGTTAAGCAAAGCAAAGCAAAGCTCAGGGTGGATCACAAAGTCACCACACATTCCGAGCACAAGTTCAAGGGCCACAAGGCCAGTTCACATGCAAGACCATATATAGAGATATACAAGAGTCAAGCAAGCAAGAGCAAGAGTATATTTAGGTCAAGGTACAAGCAAGGTCAAGAAGTGAGCAAGTGAGGCAAGACAGGCACAAGGCCCAGCTGCGTGCAGCAACGCTGATGATCACAAGGCGCAAGTGCCTTGGTGAAGACATCAGCAGTGTTGGCCTCAGAGGCCACGTACGCAAGTCGCAACTGTCCACGCTGCTGTAGCTCACGAGCAAGAAAGTAGCGGAGAGCAATGTGCTTTGTCCTGTGCTCCAGTCGCTGCTCTCGACACAAGGCCAGCATGGCCTTGTTGTCTACGTACAGGACTGGAGGAGAACGAGGCGGCTCTCCAAGGTCGATCAACAGGTAGGTGAGCCAGCGTAACTCCTGTGCAGCCATAGCCCCGGCGTAGATCTCAGCCTCACAACTGGAGCCGAGAACAGAAGACGAGCGGGTAGCCCGCCACGAAACAGAGCCGGAACCAAGGCTGAAGGTGTAACCCTGTGACGACCGCTGTGTGGCCTGGTCGTCAGCCCAAGAAGCGTCCGCGTGCCCAGTGAGGACCACTGGACTGCGCCCTCCAAGCACTAGCCCCATGCCCGACGTACTGCACAAGTAGCGCAACACCCTCTTCGCTGCAGCCATGTGCTCTGGTCGGTGTCTCCCAGGAGCAACATAGCGTGCGAGAATGCTAAGAGGGTATGCAAGGTCAGGTCGTGTGCAGGTCATCAGGTACATGAGGCAGCCAACAAGCTCTGCATACGGGCCACTCGACTCTACGGACTCATCCGAAGGCAGAGCTGAGAGCGAGTGGCGAGTAGGCAGAGGAGTGGCCTGAGGCGAGGAGTACGTGAAGCTGAAGCGCTGAAGGACCTGCTGCACCATGTGTGACTGAGTCAGGGTAATGGTGCGGCGTGCTCTGTCCCGGGTGATCTGCAAGCCAAGGTAGCTGCGCAGTTCACCCAGGTCAGTGCACGTGTGTCTCTTCTGCAGCTCGGACTTCACGTAGGCGAGTCCAGCAGTGTCAGCTGTGGCAAAGACCAAGTCGTCGACGTACACGAGGATGTAGAACGGCGGCAGAGAGGTGTCGGTGCGCAGAAACAGCGACGGGTCGGCAGTAGAAGGAGCAAACCCAAGTGCCGCGAGCGTAGTCCTCAGTGTGTCGTGCCACTCACGTGGCGCCTGGCGGAGACCGTAGACTGGACGCCGGAGACTCCACTGGGTACCAGGAGGGAAAGACCCAGTGAAGCCAGGTGGGCGACGCAGCCAGATCTCCTCGTGCAGGCTGCCCTGCAAGAAAGCTGTGCTGAAGTCGAGAGAGTGCAGCTCGTAGTCACGGTGAGCAGCAACGTGCAGCAGTACCCGAAGAGTGGTCATCTTCGGGGTGGGGGAGAAGGTCTAAAAGTAGTCAACCCCCTGCCGCTGACTGAAGCCACGAGCCACGTAACGCGCCTTGAAGACAGGCGGAGAACCCGGCGGCCGCTTCACCCTGAAGATCCACATGCCACTGACTATGTTCGCCCCAGGAGGGGGAACAGCGTCAACGTAGGTGCCTGTGGACTTCCAGGAAGCCATCTCTGCATCCATAGCTGCCTGCCACTAAGAGGAGTAGGGACCCTCTATCGCCTCCGCGTAAGAGCGCGGAGTCGGGATGTCTAGTGCATCCGGGTCTCCCTCAGGGGCTAGCAGTACAGACGCGAGATGAGGTGAAGCGGCGGCCAGACACTGGAACTCCTCCTGCCTGTCCTCAAGGACGTCCGTGCCAAGGGCACACTCACCCCCGACGGACGGAGGACAGGCAGACTCAGACTCAGCGACAAGACTAGCAGCGTAGTCTAGACGACAGCGCGCAGCAAAGTCGACGAGCTCAGTGACAAGGGCAGACGCAGCAGTAGACTCGAAAGAGGGGTCAGTGACAGCAGTAGCAAGGAGACGCGTGACAGTAGGACTGGCAGCACGAAGAGAGTCCGACTCCGGGTCGGCAAGAGCAGGAAGAGAGGAAGCAGGAGGAGAAGGCAAAGGGGCACGCAGAGGAGCAGTAGACGGACGCAGAGACATCCGGTGCGTGCTAGGGACAGGAGGAGGACGCTGACGCGAACCACGACCACTAGCGCGCGCAGTACGAACAGGCGACGCAGGACGAGACGCAGGCTCACGACGCTCAGTAAGACCTCCAGTCGGACCAGCGTAGGGAGAAGGAGCAGGCAAAGGGGAGGCAGGCTGTAGCTGTGACTATGACGAGACAGGCTGTGGACCCTCTAAGGGAGGAGGAGGAGGACCAGGAGAAGGTGTAAGACCAAGAACCTGCTGCAGGAGCGGAACGAAGTACGGTCGGGGCCGCGCGGCGACGCCAGAAACAGCAGGGACAGCACCAGTACCCCCAGCAGGAGTACCCGCTCCAGCAGCACCTCCAGCAGCACCACCAGGAGCACTGCCAGTCGGACCGCCAGCGGCAGTCTCAGCACCAACACCCTCAGCAGCACCAGCTCCAGGAGAACCCTCAGACCCAGCAGCTCCAGCACCCACAGTACGAGCACCTCTGGGACGCTTGGCAGCAGTACCCTCTGCAGCTGAAGAACCTCCAGTACCAGCAGCACGCCTCCAGCGCCTGGCAAACCACTCACGCAGCTCCTGTGGGGAGAGTGGCTCTCGGCGAGACGAAGCACCTCCAGGAGGAGCACCCCCAGGCTCAGCACCCCCAGGCTCAGCACCCCCAGGCTCAGCACCCCCAGGCTCAGCACCTCCAGGCTCAGCACCCCCAGGCTCAGCACCTCCAGACTCCGCACCCCCAGGCTCAGCACCCTCAGGCGTAGCACCTCCAGTCCCAGCACCCCCAGGCTCAGCTCTAGCAGCAGCTCCAGAGTCACCAGTGACCTCGACAGGCTCGACCGCGTCTACCTGGGACACACCTGAAGGGGCAGGACCTTGAGGGGGGAGGGGGTCTACCGGGGGGGGACCTGGTACCAAGAAGAGCGGGGGCGGGGGGAGGGACGGAGTGCGGTAGGGGAAGAGGCGGTAGTAGGGTACCGACTCGTCGAACGTGACGTCCTGGGAGGACAGAACACGTCGAGAGGTGGGGTGGTAGAACTGCCACCCAGGGGCGTCGGGGGGGAACCCCAGGAAGACGCAGGGAGCAGCGCGAGGGGACAGCTTGTCCGCAGACAAGTCGCGGACAAACGTCCGAGATCCCCAGACCCGGAACGCCGACGCATCGCCAACCTTCCCCGTCCACAGCAGGGCTGGGGAGGTCTCCGGCTTGGAGACCCTGGGGTGGAGGTTGATCTGATGCGCTGCGTACCTGACCGCAAACGGCCACAGAAAATGGGGGGCAGCCGCATGCATCATGGACGTACGAGCGACGTCCATGACCATGCCAATGCGGCGCTCTGCAATCCCATTTTGCTGCGGGGAGTCCGGAAGCGTGAAGGTCTGGCGGATGCCTCGCGCACGACAGTAGGCACGCAGAAGGCCAGAGGAGAACTCTCCGCCTCTGTCCGAGTGCAGACGCAACACAGGAAAGTCCGAGCCAAAGCTCTGCCTGAGCTGGAGACGAGCTGCGCGGATCCAGACGATCAGCACCTCAGTGACATCACCCTTGCTGCGCAAGGGGAAGACTGTGGTGTAACGCGAGTAGTCGTCGACCACCAACAGGAAGTAGCGCTCGTGACCGAGTCCACGGACGCGGGCAGGGCCCCACACGTCCATGTGAAGCGTCTGCAACGGAGCCTCTGTCGGAGGAAACTGAGAGGAGTGAGGGGCAGCACGCTGGCGCCCCTCGACACAGGGGACACAGGCAGGGCCAGGGCCCTGAGAAAGGGGAGGTAGAGACCGGGGGAGACCAGACACAAGAAGACGGGAGGCCATGCCTCTGAGCCGAAGCAGAGAGGGGTGGCCAAGACGGTGGTGCCAGAGGAGGGTCTCGTGAGACAGACGGCGACACGAACAGGGGGCAGACTCAGGACCAGACCTGGACGCTGCAGCAAACACCTGACCAGACGAAGGGACTCTACCAGACTCAGTACCTGGAGGAGAAGCAGTGGTCAGTGTGTACAGGCTCGACCCTGGCTGACGTGTAAACGTAGCCAGGTGACGACCCGTGCTAGCCTCTGTGCAGTGCGTCACTCGCTGACGAGCAGGGGTGAACTGGTGGACTCCCGCATCCTCTAGGTCAGCACCACTCACCAAGTTCGTAGAGAACGAGGGGAGGTAGAGACCAGACAGGGTGCCAGAGGGAGCCGCCGGACACGGGAGGACTGTGGAGAAGCGAGACAGGACAGGACCCCCAGAGGGGTCAGCCAGGGAAACCGCAACCGGCTGACTAAGCGGCGTAAGTGTGGTGCGGTCCCGAAAGAAAGAGCGAGACGCTCCAGAGTCAAGAGTGAAGGTGTGGGAGGCCGAAGCCGACGCAGTACCTGAGAGCGCAGACGCACTAGTACCTGAGAGAGCAGTCTCACCAGCACCTGAGAGCACAGACGCACTGGCACCTAGAGCAGAAGCCTCACCGGCACCTGGAGCAGCAGTTCCAATGCCCGGGTCGGGCGGGAAACACCGGTAACAGTCACCCTCATCACTAATGGTCAGAGCATACATGGAAGCAAGGATAGCATCAAAATCAAGATCAAAGATAGCTACACC